CAGCTCCTCTACATTCAAGAGTTTGTCTCTTCTGACACTCATGTTGACCTTTCTTTTCTAGCTTTTATAGAACCTTTTGCTTTCTCCATGTATAATGTTCTTGATGTCATCCAACAGCTCATCAGGACTTCTGTCATTTGTATTCAATGCACTAAATATGTTCTTTAGATGCTCTAAAAATTTAGGTGAGATATACTCTAGATCATATCTTGACTTTCACAAGTACACAGCTTATCGCAATAAAGGAAAAGTAGTGTAAGAGTGTGGGAAACAACTGTTCCTACATAGGAGGCAAATTTGACTAATTTCTTAAATTTCCCTCAGAGAGGAAAATGTATTCAGGCAAAGGACCTAGACCATAAATTTAAAGTACTCATAAAATGTGAGCATTTTCTTATGATATCAGAGAAAATCAGGGTATATTTAACAGCTAAATGAAAATAAGCTTTGAAATGCCTTCAATTTTTTCACCATAATCACAGTTCTGGATAAACATAATTTCTACACACTGCAATATATATATATATATCACATTTAGAATAAAGTCCAATTTGAAAAAAATATACTGCACATGTAGAATAAAGTCCAATTGCAGCAAATTGGCAAACAGTTGAGAAACACGTGCCAAAAAGGCTTCACAGCTATCATGCAGAGCCCAGGAGACTCAGTGCAAAGTTTCCCCCAGCTTAAAACAACAGTGTAATACGAAACCTGCCATATTTCAATTTTAACATATATGGAAATCTTCAAGGATATGACTGGCATGGGAACATGTTCAAAGCATAAATAAGAAATTAATGAAGAAATGTGGTTGAACATTAACCGTCTTTTTTTGCATAATGTAATGCAGGCGAGGAAAAGAATTGAGAAGACACAATAGCTAAAACCAATATGTACAGGCAGTATTATATTCACAAGGAAGGAAGGCCATGAAAATATTTACAATCTTGGTGGGGAAAAGAAAGATTTTGGTCATAAGAACGCCCTAAAATGTTTGAATATCGCCTAGTTCTTTTTGGTACAGTGATTCTGTGTATTCTTTCCATGGGCCCTTGCTCTTTTCGATGCACTGAAACCAATTCCGTTCCCTCTTTCCAGCAGTTAAATTTTAGAGATTGCAGAATTTTGGATTTGGGAGGGATTTTGCACCATCTAGAAGGTGGTTCTTAAGCTTGATTGTTGGTCCCAACATTCTAAAGATAGGCTGCGCACACCCATTCCAATTATTCATGCAGGATGGAGCAAGGGACACACATTCTTCAGGTAGCTCTCAGAATGATGGAAACGGAAGGTCAGAGCAGACAAGATGGGAGCAGTTTGAAAAAGTAGCCTGAAGAGAGTTTGTTTTGCCATTTTGGTGTACACTTCTTTTCTCTCTGAAAATTACTGAATCCACAGACTCCCCCATTCTAAACCTGGATAATTATAAAATCAAAATTGGTGTCTGTCAAGCCTACCAAGTGCATTGGTGTCTATGTTCTGTTATCCTCTGAAACAAGCCTGTACATCACCCTCACCTCATTCACATCTTTGTTGG